CAGATTGTGAGGGGCTGACATTGTTGATTGCGTGTAAGTAGGTTGATATTCTATTAAGCTTGGTACAATCGGCGCAGCAACATGCTGCATGGGAAGTGGTAGTGCTGGATGGTCATATTTTACGTCATGCCCTTGATAAACTGATGTAGGGGGTGTGAGCTGAGTCCACATCCGAGGTTGAACATGTTCCTCAGGTGGGAGGTGCTGTGTCAGAACTGGTAATGGAGCAGGTTCTGTCATGGAAGTATACTGAGTTTGATGCAGCACAGGAGGCATGGTGCCTGAGGACACTGATGAGTATAATGATTGTGAGCGTACTGGGTGTATTGGGAAAAAACCTCTGCTACCTTGGGTCTCCTCTGCTCTAGGTGTGCTGGCACCGATATGTGGGTCACTTACAGATTGCAGAGTTGTATAGTTCTCACTCTGTTTCTCAGTTTGTAACTCTACGTCAGGTGAAAGCGATGATGATGTCGAGTTTCCTGATAAAGGTGGGAATTGGGGAGGTTCTACTTGAGGTGATTTCCTCGTAGCTGCACCAATGATAGTATCATTGGTTTGATTGTCCTCTTCTCCTTCTTCCTCTATGAATGAAGCAATCTGCTCCATCAACTCTCTACGTCGGCGTTGTCGGGTTTCATACCGTTTCAGTTTGCTGTGAAGAGCAGCCATAACCGCAGCTTCATCTTTATCCTTGTCAGACATAGATTTTAATAACCTTCTCAATGATCTCATATCTAATGCGTCTGAGGAGATTAAATCCTGCTCGTTGGAATGCTCACCTTGGCTGGTGTTAACCTGTGTTTGACTTATTGCGCGCACTGCAGCTGTAGCTCCTCTCTGCTCCTCTGTCATCATGATAGGATGGGAGGAGAGGGAAAACTGGTGGCGCTCGTCAAATAGATAATCCTCCAGATATTTAGGTGTGTGGCGTTTCCGTGAGGGTCTGTTTGTCTGGTGTAAGGAAGCTGGTCAGTGGTCTGATGACATAACTGGAGTAGTCAGCACATCCGGCTCGAAGGACCAATGTAAGATTTAGTGAGGTGGTGGTTGCAATACCAGGCTTGACCGCTACAGTACTCCGGTTAGAGAGTCTCGAGTCATCAGATTAACTATGACTGTTTATTTCTTGAGAGCATACATATCAGTCATCTGCAACACATAAAGAATATAAGGCGTACATAAGTTCAACAGCTCGTCAACATTTAGTACCAAACTGCATCACAAATGTGGACCAGCTAAATTACAATAGGATGATTCACTGTTTCATTGTTTGCTAAGCACTTTCCCTTTCTGGTTCCACTGTTTCTAACACACCCACACAAACACATACTCACAAGCACATGTACATAAAGTAAATACACTTATGTGGCTCACCTGTAGGGTCCAGGTGCAGTCTATATTAGGAGGGTAATAGGAGGGGTAGTAGGGTGAGGAAATCGAGCCATTCCAGGAGGAAATTGATCCTCCACAACCTGCAGGTGGAGTGAAGCAGACAAGGGCACAGATTATACTACAACACCATACTTATGCTAATCACTGGAAACAATTCATTCCAGCACGAAGGCCATAACAAAAACATATCACCAGTGATGGGGAGTAGTGAACTACATACAGCAATTAAACCAGTAGTTTACAGTTTTTCCTCAGTCACTGTGGTGCATTTCTTGAATCATCCTTGATATTTGCAAGAACATTTCTTGAAACAGTTCATACAAACAGTACCACACAATAGATTACCTACAAAAGTGTGTCACTTGCTCAAAACCCTTAGTTTATCTTTCAAAAGTAAATACTTATATCCATGAACATGTCAGTGCCATGAGAATGACAAATCCTTGTGTCATCGCTTACAAGAATGGCAGTCAGAATGTTTAGTCATGTCAATATAACAGGATTTGCATACGTAAAGTATGGCTCAGGTTTTAATGACAGTGATTGAAAATACATGACTGCACTTGTTCTGTATGGCATGTATCAGTTTCAACAGTTTCACATTTCTGTATATGGGAGTTTGAGTGGAAAAGATGGGAAAGGATTCACATTTACACTTTTACTGTTTTTACTGTCATTGCAGTGCACACATCACTGTTAATTAAGGACCTAGGCTCCCCGGGGCTACCCAAAGCTCTCTGAAGGAAGCACTGCCACTTTCACTTAAACATTGTTAACAGGCAGTGAGTGACAACGAACCAAAAATATGAACTAAAAATATCCTGTGATAGAATGGCTTTTGTGTCTGCCACTCTGGTCTCTATTATTCATGAGGTTGAACTGCAGGATAATCACAGTTTATAACGTAACCAGGATACAGCGACTTTATGTGATTATTCTCTCCATGACCTTCTTGGACATACCTCCTCTCATAATCGATCTTTTCCACACATCAGTCCTTCATTTTGGTTCTTATTTAGTATGAAAGACCGGCAGCTGCACCAACACCAATTAAGTTAAAACCTTCAACTACAGTATGTCTCTGTATGTTCCTGCATCTACACCCGTAAAAAGAGTGTGGAGTGAATAAAAACTGTAAAGTGCTCAATATTAAGGAGTAATTATGATGTCCTTTATGGCTGCAATGAATTTGTTTCATAAAGAGGCTAACATGTTGATCAGTGGTCCTCCTTTACATTAGCTACTTAAATTAAAATCTGGGAATGAACGTTGATCATTCCCTTAAAGTCACAGCACACTAAGAGACTATTCAGCAGGTAACTAACATGACATGATTATGTAGTTACTGCTAAAAAGATTGTAATCTCAGTAATGGGATGGCAGTTAGATGGAGTCATGTTAAATACAACCTACCCTGGTTTCAGTATCGAGCAGGCACTAAAGAGCAGATTAAGACTTAGTGTGATCATTTATTGTTTTAGCACTGTTTAATCTCTGCTTGCTTAAACATTTTCTCATTGGGTTTTCAGTTAGCAAGGCACAGATTGGACAAGTACATCACCTAGCGTGGTACCCTGCTAAAGTTTCCTTGGCATGTGCATTGGCATTAGATTACCATCTGTTTTGTCGGTAATCCAGCAGTAGCAGGCTGCTGCTTGGTTAGTGAGTCCCTCTTTTTTTTGTTCACCTGAATGAGTCACAGAGTCAGGCCAGGCAGCACCAGTATCTGGTCTGTCATGCAGCCAGCCAGAGCTGATTGACTGGATAACCAAATCTTCTCATGCTGCCCTGTGCCACACTCCTTCACTGTTCCCTTTGGGCTTGAAGTCACCGAGGCAGGGAAAGATCACTGCAGCTCCATCACTGCAGATGGATCCCCATCAGTGCAAGCACTGGAAAGGGATGAACATGGCAGACAGTGGACTAAAGGCCCTTTGTGTCTGGCCAAATGCTGGCAGTTTATACCACAGGCTGCACTACAGATGCTAAGCCCTATAATAGTGAATGTTGTGCAGGAATGTGCGGCTTAATACGATTGACCTCTTTTCCCCTTTCCTTTCTTTCCTCCTTGGAGAGCAGCAAGGACATGGTGATGGAAGGCAAAGATCAAGCATTCTTTCAAGTCCAAGTCTATCCCATTATTTCATATCTCACCTCCTTAATCCCTCGCCAGTTGTCTGGTTTCTATCCTGCCCTGGAGTTTAGTGCTTACAAAGCAGAACTGTGCCTCTGAGATTGAGTGTGTCCCAGTCTTTTGACACCCTAAGATTTGCATACACATTGCATTGGAGCTTTGAAGATCGCAGAAAAGGGAGAAATAAATAGCCATAAATGGGTTGACGGGAACAAACCTGGCAACCATCTGAAATGCTTCCTGCAATGTGCAAAGCATCCAGAGCTGGGGGATTTTGTAAGAGTGGCCTATTTGGTTATGTGTGCCCAGCAGGGGGTCATATAGCAATATGAAAATGCTCTAAGAAAGAAAAAACATGTTGCCAACATTGGACTAATGTTGGACTTTCTAAAAGCAGAAGTATATATTTTTTGCTTTCTGCTCATGCGATCACAGAGAGTTGTTCTAATTTATCTGTGATTCTAAATTTGATTATCTCTCCTTCAGGTTTTTTTTTCATTACTGGTGGCTAGCAGTGGCACACCTAATGACATATTAGTATGCTGGTTTCAGGACTCAGTAAAGCAATGATTCAGAAGTTTGGTCTGGTATTAATTAAATTACATTTAGTTCAATACTTATGTTGTATTATTTGTGGATTTTATGACAGTACATCAGACTTGCTACCTGCTGCTTTTCCCAAAAATACCTATTTATTTTCAAGGCTACTGATAAAAATCACATTCTGTATTTCTTTTTTTTCTGTATGACTGGATTTCCACACACAATGGTCTATTTTGCTATAAATGGAATTCTTTTCACCACCAAGCAGGCCGCTTCCATTATCCAAGTATTTCTTTTTACATCACTATTTCATTTCATGTGGTGGAGATGAGAGAAATCACATACTGGGTTACACTGTAATAGGTAAACAAGATGGAGAGTGATGCCGAGTTTGTGAGTGCCTTGCTCTTGCTCTTTTGGTAGTTATTTGCTGCCACCAAGTGGCATCATAGAAATGAAGAAAAAAAACAAAAAACAAATCTCACAAGAAATTACTGACTAGCTACAGTATAATGAAAAGTTTAATTAATTAATCCCTTGTTTCTAAGTAAAGCCACACAGACACTCTTCATTTACAGCAAAACCGTTATTATGAATATTGCCGTATGTGACATCCTGATCACTGCCTCCCTCCTCTTGGTTTGATGAAAATGGTGTTCAGTGAGAATTCAGAAATTTGATGCCTTGTCTAACGATGCGATCAGTACAGCAACTGCAAGTCAGAATGATGTGTTTTATGGACCATTAACTATGTTTACCTTAATGTTTTCTGCCTCTGTCAAACTACTTAACTCAGTCACCCTGTCCTCCTTTCGATCCCCATCCCCGCACCCCGATTCTATTTATAGCTCCTCTCTCTCAGCTTCACTGTTATGTATGTGTGTGTATATGTAAGCATGTGTTAATCATTGTTTGGACTGTCCTGCAGGCAAAGGTCCAGAGACTATTTTTGCGGGTCAGAATCTGAACGATAATGAGTGGCACACAGTACGTGTGTTCAGAAGGGGCAAGAGTTTGAAACTGACCGTAGATGATCTGCCATCTGTAGAAGGTACTTCTCATCCTCTGTTCTTCTGACAGAATAGGTTGTTCTCCTATAAACTTTAATTTTCCGTAACATTTGTTGGGCTCTCACATTCTAGGTAAGACGCAAGCACTAATACAGAAACAAAGAGCTGATGTGTGTTATTACAAGTCTTCATTCATTTATTTTTTTGAAGGTGTACTATTGAAGTGCTCATATCCACATGCAAAATGTTTGTTTAAACCATGTCCACTAATAGAATGATTCTTCCATAATGACAGTTGTCGTTATGGAAGAATGGTACCCAGTCACAGTATACAAGATTGAGTACATACTCTGTGCAATATCACTGAAATAATAAATAAATCAAAATTGTTCTATCTTGTGATAGTTAAAGGTGTAATTCATTATTGTACTGTATATCCAGATAACGCCTCTCTCTTCCTCCACCCCTTCTGATCAAAGGTCAAATGGCGGGAGACCACACCCAGCTGGAGTTCCATAACATTGAGACAGGCATTGTGACAGAGAAACGCTTCTTGTCCATGGTGCCGTCCAACTTCATTGGCCATCTCCAGAGCCTGTCCTTCAATGGCATGGCCTACATAGACCTCTGTAAAAATGGTGACATTGATTACTGTGAGCTCAATGCCATGATTGGTTTCAAGAACATCATTGCTGACCCCGTCACCTTTAAGTCACGCTCCAGCTATGTGACCCTGACCACTCTGCAGGCCTACTACTCCATGCACCTTTTCTTTCAGTTCAAAACCACCTCTTCCGACGGGCTCATCCTGTATAACAGCGGCGATGGAAATGACTTCATTGTGGTGGAGCTGGTCAAAGGGTAAGTTAATACTTCTCTATCATACCCAGATATACTTGCAGAAACATTTGTTGAGTGTTCTCTCAGTTATTTCCAGTATTTCCAGTCACAGTCTCTTCTGTTATACCATCGAGTGCTGTGACTTGCTATTTTTTGTAGTAGATTTGACTCCATACTGGGTGCAGCAGTCATTGCTGTGGTGTTTCTGTTCTGCACACAAATGACTTGTCAAACAACTTGTTCCCAATGCTCTGACATGATTTTCTTGGGTTTCCTGTAGCTGAGGTTTGATTTGGTGTAGACAATACTGTCTGTGCTTAGCCTAGAGTAATTACCCAGCTCTTCTGTTTACACACACACGACTCCATTTGTAGAACAGTGATCTACCTACCAGCAGGTGCAAAAACCAGCGCATGAGAAAAACTAAAAGGTTGGAAGTGTGTTGAACTTGTTTTATACTAGTGTAGCAAGATGTTTTTTTATATAAGAATATCAGTATAAATGGATTATGATTTTAATAATGCAGCTCTTCATTCTATATTTCAGCTTCAAAAGAGAATATAATTCTTTTGGCTTGTTTATGCCATTACTATGGGAATTCAAATTCTTTTCTTATCACCTCTGTGCCAGAATATTTACTGAAATAGCTGTCAGGTATTGCTATTCTGTTTAATCTTCTTGAAGCTACAACAAATGCCAAGTATAAATGGGAATCAGCTACACAAGAGTGCATTTCTTATTTCTAAAATGCAGAATGGCCATCTTTTAAGTAATGCCTGAAGTTAAAGGTACAATGTACTAAACATGAAAGACATGCAGGCATTTTAAATGAAAATGCAAATTGCAAATTGCCTGTAAACCAAAGAATTTAAGACCAATTTGTACAGCACAGCTCAAAACCTTTTGTTAACTCTGCAACCTGCCAATTATTTAGCTTCTTTTCAGACAGCTGCACGTTCTGATACACTCATAGCTCCACGTTTGAATGCACAGGCACACATGCCCCTTTCCTACAGTTTTCAGAGGTTCATTATTATTTATTGTTATTGGTTACTATTCCTGGTGTACTTTGTGGGTTTTGGTAAACACTTTGTAACAAGCTAAGGTTTATAAAATGAGCTGTAAATAGTTTTTTTATAGAGTGTATATCTATGTGTACATTTTTGGCTCACAACATCACCCATAGTGCTATTGTTTAATTCTGTCATAATGCCAGGCTTTTATGTCCTTCCATTTGTCTCTGTGATTGCATCCACTCATGCTATTCAGTATCTGCTTCCAGATACCTGCACTATGTGTCTGACCTGGGGAACGGAGCTCACTTGATCAAAGGCAACTCCAACAAGCCCCTGAACGACAACCACTGGCACAATGTCATAATTTCCAGGGACACCAACAACCTCCACACTGTCAAGATTGATACCAAGATCACTACACAGACAACTGCAGGAGCCAAAAACCTGGACCTGAAAGGTGAGGAGTCATATACAGTATATAAGATTTCAGCAGATCCATGACTGAAAGGCTGGACCAGCAGGATACAGCCTATGAGACTGGATGGAGATGGAGCAGGGAGTTCATAGGAAAGAGATTTGTGATTTGCAGACCAACCTTGTGTGAAAGTCATCAGTTTTTATTAGTTAATGTGATTAAACAAATCTAAATAAAACAATACAAAGCAGAAACAACATTTATGACTTCAACATAAAAGATTGTATTGATCATATTACATAAAAAATTCCATTCAACACAATTATAAAACATTTTATAAGCAAGACTGACAGTAATTGTTTTCCTGCGCCCTTCACTTGCAAAAATACTTTATCAAACAAGTGTTACCAATGCTTAAGTGTAACCCAAGATTTCTGGTATTTAATCTAGAAAATACAGTGTGACCCCAAATACAGTGCTGTTTAAGATGATGTGCTTTTCACCTAGTTTATTGTAACAAGCATACGTTTAGCTCAGTGTAATGTTTTATCACCACTAGGGGGCAGTATTATCTCACTTCCCATTTTTATACAGGTAACCTTTATATCGGTGGAGTGGCTAAAGAGATGTACAAGGAGCTGCCTAAGCTGGTGCATGCCAAGGAGGGTTTTCAAGGCTGTCTGGCATCAGTGGATCTGAATGGGCGGCTCCCAGACTTGATGTCAGATGCTCTGGACTGTGTGGGACAGATAGAGAGAGGATGTGAGGGTGAGTACTCTCTTAGCCCACAAAAGAAAGTTGTCTGTGAAGTTCACTTAATGCTCAGGTTCAGATTTTATTGGTTTAATATGCTGATTGAAGGAAAGATGTTCAATTTAAACCTGATTTTACTGCAGAAAGGTTTCTATTAGTTCTCTTAATTACTCTGGTTTCTCCTCATTATCACCAAACTACCCTAAGGGGTCACTGTAACACCATTCAGTGCTGTGTTGCTGCTTAGTGCTCCCATTCTTATATCCTACAAAGACACTCATGCTGTACACTGTGAAGCACACCCAGCAAAGCACCGAAACTGCCAACCTGTGGCACATAATTTAACATCCATAAAGTGTGTTAGTATTCTTTCAAAATTCATCAAGCCCTGACACTCCTCCACAGGCAATCGCTTCTGTTTCACTCGTCCATAATCTGATTATTCTCTCTACCATATTTGTACTGTCAATGTTATTTCCCATTTTATCCCTATTCTGTTTTGCTCTGTGCATGCTTGTTGAATCTGAGAGTTTGCCAGAAGCAATCCTTTTGAATTATTTATGAAGCCTTTGTTGCATGCATGAATATCATTTGCCCGGTCTAATGTGTGCACCGCAACCAGAGACAATATTTGATTGATTTTTCAGTGTCACTCACTTACTTTAATTTCACAATTCATCCACTCTTTTTTCTATTGAGAACACAATTTCTGATATGTTCATATTTCAGCATTACAAATGTAATAAAAATCTAGCGCCCTGTGCAGGCCTGTCAAACTTGATGTTTTTGTTTTGTGCTGCACAGAATCAGCGGCCACTCTCACATGGAAAATTACTTTTATGATAACACATTTATTGGATTGTAGTGATAGAAACGGTAGCATGCAGCTGCTGATAGCATTTGAATAAAGCAAGAGCTATTTCAAATGGATGCACAAGAAAACATCTGTAGTTTTCAATGTGGCAAAGCCTATCCACTTCTCATAACAATGGCTTAACAATTGCTTGTCTTTACTTCATAGTGCTGCCATTTGGAGAGTAGTTTCTGCTAGAGTTTGACTTAACCTAGCCTTCATTTTACAATACAATTTGTCCTGTCTGACTCTTCCTGAAGATAAGCATCCACCTCAATTCTCGCTCTGTCTCTCCTGCTTCAACAGTCTTTGTTTGTGTCACACCATCTCTGACGCCTTGGTGCTTTACTAACAGCTGGTATGCTTTGCCTTTTCCTTTCCTATTATTTTGCCGACAAAAGTTGCATTGATGAAAGCTGACTTGCAAGGTAGATAGCTTTGTCTGTTTGATACAGTCTGACAACCCTTTCCTCTTTGCATCTAAGCCCCCCCCACCCCCACCCACACCTCCCACCTACACACTCCTCCACTTTCTACATCTCCCTGACCAGGACTGTTTGCCAGTTTGCCAGTCACTCATCTGCTATTTGGAATGAACTTCAGTCCCATAGGAATACAAGTATAATTACCATCTTGTATCACAGTCTATGGGGCTCACATTTTGATTTGACCTGACCTTTTTTGAACATATACACATACCTTAAATGTAAGGGATGCTTTTGCATGCCAGATAGCTGTAACTGTGTTTTCTCCTGCATGAATTATCTTTTTTTTTCATTAAAATCATTGTATCTGAAATTCTGTCATTTTTGTGTTTTACATGAAATTAATGTTAATCCATATGTTTATAAGTCCCATGTTTATTGCCATATTCCTGTTATAGTCACTATAGTCAGTCTTTTACCACTTTGTAAGTAGGAACTACTTTATACTGAGTAGCAGGATTAAACCTTTTAAGATTTATTTGGTAAAGAATGCTGCAACATGAACAGCACCATTGCCTGGTAATTAAAGTCAATTCAGATGCATTTTGATGAATAAATAGCAATATGATAACAGTATTGTTGCTGAATTTCACATTGATTTATTCTCTACTTCATGCTTTGCCTATAAATCAGAAAACACTCCGGAAATGGGAATTTCTCCTCAACAGAATGCATGATTTTGTCTTATATTAGATGTATTTATTTATACCATTAAACATCAGTTGTTTCATTGTTTACTTGACTCATAAGTCAAGTCAAGTCAAATTATGAAATGTTATTTTTGTGACACAGATGCATTTTAATGTAAACTATTTGGTAAGCAAATGGATTAATAAAACACTATATTATGTAGTCAAGTTTGATTTACTGTACATTGATATGTATTCAAATGTATTTCACCCTGTGTAATCATTGTGGGAAAAGGTAGTTGCGTAGAGCATTTTCCTTTTTTGCATTTTTCAACACTGAGTGGGCTACAGCAGATGTTTAAGCTACTGACCAGTTGCCATAGCTACTCTGAGCTGAGCAGCAGCTACTGTGGTTACATTTTATTAAGAAAAAATAGAATAAATAAGAATAGCTGAGCAGCTTTTTTTTTACTTCTCATAAGAGTAAATAAATAAACAATAAACTATCAAAAACATAGATGTGTTCCACATGTGTTATTATGGCAGTAAAGGGCAGCGCTACATGTAGTAGGTGTCATTTCATTTCAGCATTGTAGTTTAAGAACAAATAGTAAAGGGTGCTGAAATTATAAATAGTTGGAATACCCCCCCAAAAAATCCTATACAGTATATCATAAACACAGAAATAAAAACATATATCTAATAAAAATCAGCATTCATTCATTCATTCATTCATACTAGCCCTTGTCATTCCACTAACATATTTCTACTGACTGAACTAGCTCAGCATCACTATTACTCAGACAGCCAGACGATGCAATCTGCACAGCTGTATACTCACACTGTATTGATTCAGACTAACACAATGACTGACTGATATGATAAGGAAAATGATAGATGCATATGCATGTAGATGAAACTTTTTGAATAAAAACCCATCTGGAAGTGCCGTTAGATTGCTATCTAAAAGCACATGGATGACTCAGACACCTACGGTACCGATTAGGAACGGAGTATTGTTGTCATGCAACCCCATTCCCAGCTGGTAATAACATGGGTGAGCTGACTACAGTCAGAGAGAGCTTAATACAGGTGAAGGCATGGAGGAGTGGATTACAGTGTTTGCTGCAGACATCTGCTACTTAAAATAATCAAACTACAACTAGAACTAGACACAATTTAAATACACACTACTGTATAAAAGGCTGTAACTTATAGAAAATGTTTAAATACTATATCTGATGTTTTTGGTTGTTTTAAATGTTATGTGTGAAGATTTGGTGTCTTCTGAACGTTGTGAAATTCATGAGGTTTTGGGTAGGCAGTTGACCCCAGTCTTTGTATCAGTATTTGTAGAAAGAATACAAAATATGACTAAATACACAGTTATTAGTATGTTTGAATATGACATGTACTGTACGTTTGTTCTGTCTGTCTGTGCTTTCATATGCAGAAGCCTATTGTCTGTATGTTCTGCGTGACATTCACAGTAGAGTCAGTCCGCAGACTTTGCTGTCTGTTACTCTGACAATCTGCTCACCAGTGTACTATTTGTCTCCACGTTCAGGCCCCAGCACCACATGCCAAGAGGACTCATGTGCCAACCAGGGTGTGTGTCTGCAGCAGTGGGAGGGCTTCAGCTGTGACTGCAGTATGACGACATTCGGAGGACCGCTGTGTAATGACGGTAGGCTTCCTCTTCTTAACTCTTTATGTCCAAATAGTTGTTTTTTTTTTAGTTTTACAAATACATAGTAAACATGTTTTTGATGATTTTGACGATGACAAAGCTCCTCAATAACACAAAAGTCTTTTTATTTCATTCAAGACCCAATGACGTTCCTCAACTCACATTTAGATGCATAATCCTTTTCATATGATTGACTAATTAAATATGTCAAGGAAAATTGTGCTGTCGCTTTTAAAGGTGGGTGTTATCAACAACAGCAGGGCCATTTTTATGGTTTTATGGTTTCACACATGTTCATATTCTATCTCATTACTGTTTCCTGTCTGTATGCCATAGATGTGTCCTTCTGAAGCACAACATTTTGCCAGAAATATGACATGTTTGCTTTGTGAACTCATCGATCAAATGTTGTAACTTGGTCAATTAGAGTGAATCTTGACACAACTTTTATTTGAGTAGCTCTGCTTTGAATATTTATTGGCTTCACTGAGGAAGTCAATAGCTGTCGCGACTCTCTAGAGCGGAAACATTTACATTTGTGACATCTGGCTGACAGTTCAGTGAAAGCTCATTAAAGTTTGACAGTTGTACCACTAGAGGGGGCTACAAACATTGTGTTGTGTTAAAAACAAAACAAAAACATAGATCAAAAAAGCAAATATGCATGCACACTTTCCCAACTTTTCAGTGGTGTGTTGCATTGACTGACACAATTACAGCCACATACATAATAAATATTCAAACTTACTTTGAGTAACATGCTGCAGTGCTGTGATATTCTCCGCTCTTACAGGCAGTTTAATGGCCATTTGGTTTGAGGAACTGTGTGCTCATTAATGTTTAGCTTTTGAAAGAACTGGGATAATGCCTTTTCCACCTTAGAAAATGGGCTACTTTCCTATGCAAAACATGCACAGGGCATTGTGTTTGGTCATTATTTTGTTCCGCGGCGGTTCATACAGTAAGAGGTGAATAGGAAAAGTGCTCAACCGCAATAAGAAGAATGGAAAAGAGTGGGCACTCTGGAGATGACACAAAAGCAAAGGAGAGAGCACCTTAAATGTTAATGCATTCTGTGTCACTTCTGCCATCCTGATAATATCCCATCTTTTGTTATTAACTGTTAATAGATTCCCGTGCAGCCCATATCTTGAACATATCTGCAACTTACTGTATGATAACAGTCAAAGGGTCCTTCTGTCCATGTGAACTTGAGTGTAGTTCATTGTGATCTTACCATCTCTTCTTCTTGTTTTCACTCTTCCTTTCATCCGTTCATTTCCCAGACTGTGTTTAGATCGATAGAGGACTAGGGCTTGTTCTGCAGGTGTTGAGGGATATTTTTGATGAGGAACTTCTCATGAACCCCTTGTGTATTAAAGAGAGAAGAAACACAGCTTGGAGCTTTTTTTTTTTTTTTTTTTTTTTTTTAACTTCCTGTCATACATATTCATCCTGAGCAGGCCCGAAAAGCTCATTTACAGCAGTGGGAGCAGATCGGCCCACAAGACTTGTATGCATATATTATATCTGAGCAAAATTACTGGACCTGCAGAGTCTACTTGTACTGTAGCTGTAGCCTCATTATTCTTGCTGACCTGACAAAACCATAGGACAGATCAATGTGCAGGCCCATGGGATGTAACATGTAACCACAAAAGCAAACCTTCCAAGAAATCTTTTTCTCAATGGATAAACTGAACTCGTCCTCAGAATACTGATGCAAGATAGCCTCACTCTGCCAAGGAAAATCTATGAGTAGGAAGAAAATTCAGCTGGAGATGGTTGGGTTTTATCTGTGTTGATGGATTCTCATGGGAATAGAGGCGTTGGGAGGGGGTGGAGGGGTGGAGGGGTGGAAGCATCTCTGAAGAAAATATCACTTTTTACCAGATATATTTGCATAAGCTGAAATGCAGGCAATTTACAATGGAGGAATGGGTCTCTGGGAAAGCAACGTACATGGGGAGCTCTCTGCATTTCCAGATATTTCTCTAGTGGGTAGTCTTGGCACCGCGCGTTCCCTTTTACAGGCCCTAGCCCCATAACGTTTACTGTCAGGAATTGTGTCCATGTCTGTTCCAAATCACGAGGGAGCTAATATTCGTTCTGAAAGCACAATATCGTCTCAATGTTCATCTCATATAATACTGTGTATTGACCCTATGTGCAGTTACCTGTAAATAAGATTAACTTTTTTTCTGCTGTTTATAATCCGTTTAGAATTGCAAGACTCAACTGTTGTGCACTGGGTCTCTACAAAAAAAGTCTCTTGCAGTCAAATGCAATTAATTTGTTAATTATTACATGAGGAAACATTTTTCTACTTTATCTGTAGCAATCAAGTCAAATACAGCAGTTCTTAGACCTGTGGAAATAAAAGTATAAAAATGTTTGTGCTCAAATCATAATGGAGTATGTTATGACTAAAGAATTATCATGTTTTAATCAAGTGATTTTTAAGAGTTTGGCCAAATATGTGTGGCAAGTTCTTTACATACTGTAACTTCACTGTAAGCTGTGGACAAAACATATAAACAGTTTTGTCCTGTTGGATGTGCAGTCTAATCTCCTCGACAGCCTCAATAAGCTTGGCATGTACTGTATGTATCTACATAGGTTCTGCACTGGGTTTCAACCTTTATTTCATCTTTTCAGAACAGCACTGCATCTTTTACTTCAGAATGATTGGCAAGATGATGACATAGATGTACTGTAACAAACAATCTTCAGATCTTCTCTTCATCATCTCCCAAACCCTTTATCCTAGTAATGTGCAACTGCTTTTTCTTAAATGAAAGGTGGCCACTTAGAGTTGTATTTATAGAACCCATTATCCCCACTGGATACTACCTACATCCAATGTAAGTGTAAGAAAAAAACAGCTCAAAACAAGACATTACAAGACAGCACCCCCACCTCCTTCTTAGCCTGGTGTTGTTATTGCCATATTGCATGTTGTCTTCTCTCTATTGTCCACTGCAATTTGAAAAAGTGCTCTAGTTGTCATTCAGAAACTGGCTTGACAGGTGTGTATGTGTGTTTGTGGGACTTTCACTCTGGACTTCCTGAGGGAGTTCGCCTGCAGTAGTCAAGAATCTGAGGGCAATGTACAGAGACAAACGGAACGCTGCTTTCTGTTGAGTTAAAGTGGGTCATGGAAAGGCTGCATCGAGGGGTACGCCTGGCCTTCACGCAATTTTTGTCTTGCCTGGTTGCTCCTCCACCCTGTCTTATATGCAGAGCTTTTAGAGCCATGCCAATATTGTATCAGCAATTGAGGTTGTAGATGGGTCTCATCTCCATTGTCACTGCCCAAATGGAAAAGACTAACCTCTCTCACTTGATTTCTACTGTGTTTGAGTCAGTGCTCAGTCTTGTGTCTTTGCACCTTGAGAACAGTCTGGCAGGGCCCCAAGTATTATGTTATCTGTAATAGACATGGGTCTATTTTTTTCTTAAGTACACAGAAAAGAAAGTAAAAGGATCATTCCTGTCATGTGCTAGATACCAATGTTAATACATAACACAGACATTTACACACTGATACTTTTGTTGTATCAGTGCACCACAGCAAGAATTCAAATACATATTTTTAAAAAACTAGAAGCTTAAAATGTAAGAATCCACAAAAGTTCAGAGTTGTGACAGTCCTTCAGATTTACCTGGAGATAAACACACACAAGCAAACACATTTGCACACACATAGAGATAGTCAGGCAGGAATTATCTAGACAATGCTGTCCCATTTTGTGGTGTGCAAGGATTAGACCACTTAGTTTGGTTGCAATCAATACAAGGGGACATCTGGTCCAGTAGTGAGGCCAAGGGGATCTGCTGTCACGTGGAAGTAATGTTGTCTTTGCCCTGGATGTGGCCCTCTTTTAATGCAGCTCAGCAAAACAAATCCATGGGTCTGAAAATATTTGTGCTTCAGTGTGTATTGAATGCTTGGCCTAGCTTTGAACAGCCATTGTGCCCCATGCGAGCAGCAGCTTTAGGTGCCTTTGTGTATCCGCTCCGGTATAAATTGCTACAAAATGTGCACACATTCTTATAAGGATTATAGCACAACCAATACAAAGATTGGCAGTGGCATAATTCATAATCAAATAACCTGTCTCTCTCTTTTTTTGATTGTATACATGTACTATACACATGCAACATATGTATAACCAATAACATAATAATTGTGGATATATATAAGTCATATATTGAGACACGGTGATGCTTTTTTATGATTTTTTTTCACAATCTAAAATTAATAAAATTACCAACTTTATATTTTAGAAAATTAGTAAATATTTATTTTAATTCACTTTCAGACTTATCACACAATATGTCAGTGTCTGAAGTTGTATAGGAGGATGTGGATCTGCCTATATTTCTACACATATCCCATAGCTTCTTTTTGCTGTTCTAGATGAATACCGAGTTAGGCGGTTCCTCAAAATTTCTGTCACTGCTGAACGACTAAGAAGCATTACTGTTTCAACATCTTTTTGCTTCTTTTAATTTCCTCTTTGTGGCCACTATCCGGCCAAATTATTTTTTAATAATTTCCTTCAAGGCCGATTGTGTGCACGCATTTAAATGGGTTTCTGTGGCAGGAAGCAGTGGTAATATGTGTGTAAAGGCGGTTGGCATGGAAACCAGGTCTCCTCTCATCCCACTGTGGATGCTGTAACTTGCATGTAACTTTGCCCAAGTTGTGAGATCTCTGCTGGAAGTGATGTACTAACATCTTTTAGCTTGGCTTGGTAGAACACTGAATGCTTATTTATTTGACTCCCACATGCAAACGCCTGCCATAATAGTTCACTTGACTAATGGTAGAAAAAACAGAATACAGCTGCGAGGATGCATGGCACTTATTATGTGCTACAGCTTCATGCTGGCACAGCAGTATTAATATGGAGCCTCACCAGTGTCTGTAATGTGTCAGATTGCTTCCTAAGACCATGCTGCTGTTCATATGTGACAGAGTTCTGGTGTGC